TTTGATTTCGGCAGATTTCTTTTTATATCTTTCGGATCTTTCACTTTTTTCTTTAATTCACGCATATTCTTTTTCTTTGTATGTATAATAGGCATCAGAATTAGGATCTTTCTTTCAACAAGAGCCTTCATGTAGATACTTCTTCTGGTTCGATAGATTATAACAAGCAGAAGCAGAAGTTCCTGTAGAGGCTTTATTGTAGGTTCAGTACTCATCTTTATATACATAATAGGCGGGGCAGGTTGGTAATTTTTATACGTTGATCGGGGTCTTGAAGGTGCTTGAATATGGGCGGTAAGTACTTCGATAAACTTTTTGGTTAATTCGTTTAATCGTTCAAGCTCATTGGATATTTCCTCTAATTCAGTTTTTATATTTTTTTTATTATTTTATTTTATTATTTTATTTATTTTTTTTTGAATTATTGTGTTTTTGAAAAGGACCAACGTACCGTGTCTAAACCGAATTGAAGTTTCTTTGTGAACTGACAGACTGTGTTCACTTGTGATAGTCTTGTTGTGTATGTTGTTTCATACTAACAAAGATTGAGAATTCTGTCTTGTTTTTTCCTTTGTTATATGTCATCATATTGTGTCTTGTCCCCACAAGCCTTAAATAATCACCAAAATCGATAAAACACCGAAGCTAAAGAAAAGTCAGTAAAAGCAAACAGGATTTGCTAAAATAAAAAAACAATAATAAAAAAAAAATAAATAAAATAATAAAATAAAATAATAAAAAAAATATAAAAACTGAATTAGAGGAAATATCCAATGAGCTTGAACGATTAAACGAATTAACCAAAAAGTTTATCGAAGTACTTACCGCCCATATTCAAGCACCTTCAAGACCCCGATCAACGTATAAAAATTACCAACCTGCCCCGCCTATTATGTATATAAAGATGAGTACTGAACCTACAATAAAGCCTCTACAGGAACTTCTGCTTCTGCTTGTTATAATCTATCGAACCAGAAGAAGTATCTACATGAAGGCTCTTGTTGAAAGAAAGATCCTAATTCTGATGCCTATTATACATACAAAGAAAAAGAATATGCGTGAATTAAAGAAAAAAGTGAAAGATCCGAAAGATATAAAAAGAAATCTGCCGAAATCAAA